TCATAACAGGCCCCTGGGACCCCAAACCAGACCCCTAGGACCCTAAACCAGGCCCCTGGACCCCATAACAAGCCCCTGGGACCCCAAACCAGGCCCCTGGACCCCGTAACAAGCCCCTGGGACCCCATACCAGGCCCTGGACCCCATAACAGGCCCCGGACCCCATAACAGGCCCCTGGGACCCCAAACCAGACCCCTAGGACCCCAAACCAGGCCCCTAGGACCCCAAACCAGGCCCCTGGACCACATAACAAGCCCCTGGGACCCCAAACCAGGCCCTGGACCCCATAACAAGCCCCTGGGACCCCAAACCAGACCCCTAGGACCCAAACCAGGCCCCTGGACCACATAACAGGCCCCTGGGACTCCCAACCAGGCCTCTGGGACCCCAAACCAGACCCCTGGGCCCCTCAACCTGACCCCTGGAACCCCAGCCCAGGCCTCTGGGACCCCCAACCATACCCCATAACAGACCCCCCGGACCCCCACCCAGACGCCCAGGACCCCTCAACCAGACCCCCAAGGCCCCCACGCAGACCTCCGGGACCCACAGGCCCCCCGGTACCTCCCCATAGACCGTGGCCACCCCCCCACAGCCCCGAGCTCCCGGCCCCGCCCCGAGCTCCCGTTAGGCCGCAGCGCCAGGCCCGGCCCCGCGGCCTTGTCCCGGCCGCGTCCCGCGGAGCTCCGGGAGCAGAACCGGGTCCGTGGCCCCGCTCCGCCGTTACCGGAGAGAGCAGCGGCGGCGGCGGCGGCGGCGGCGGAGCGGGGCCGGGAGCGGCTCCGAGAGCAGCGGCAATGGAGCGGAGCGGAGCGGGGCCGGGGGGGGGAAGCGGCGGTGGGGCCGCGGCGGGCGCTGGGACACGGGGCTGCCCCCCCCGGGGATACCGGGAATACCGGGGATACCGATCACTGCTAACCCGTTTGTTATTGATGAGACACCGGGGGAGGGGGGGGTACAGCAGGGAATGGGGGACGCAGCCCCTGCGGCCACCGGGATGCATCGGGATGGGGTCGGGATCTGTAACCGGGTCCGTGGGTCCGGGGTGGGGGGGGGGAGCGCTGGAGTCGGTGGAGCCCAAGCGGAGCTTCCCATCTCCGTGCTGACAGAGCTCCCATCTCCGTCCCAACAGAGCTCCCATCTCCATCCCAGCAGAGCTCCCATCTCCGTGCTGACAGAGCTCCCATCTCCGTCCCGACAGAGCTCCCATCTCCGTCCCGACAGAGCTCCCATCTCCGTGCTGACAGAGCTCCCATCTCCGTGCTGACAGAGCTCCCATCTCCGTCCCGACAGAGCTCCCATCTCCGTGCTGACAGCTCCCATCTCCATCCCGACAGAGCTCCCATCTCCGTCCCGACAGAGCTCCCATCTCCGTGCTGACAGAGCTTCCCATCTCCGTGCTGACAGAGCTCCCATCTCCGTGATGACAGAGCTCCAATCTCCGTGATGACAGAGCTCCCATCTCCGTCCCAACAGAGCTCCCATCTCCGTCCCGACAGAGCTCCCATCTCCATCCCAACAGAGCTCCCATCTCCGTCCCGACAGAGCTCCCATCTCCGTCCCGACAGAGCTCCCATCTCCGTGCTGACAGAGCTCCCGTCTCCGTCCCAGCAGAGCTCCCGTCTCCGTCCCAACAGAGCTCCCGTCTCCGTCCCAACAGAGCTCCCGTCTCCGTCCCAGCAGAACTCCCATATACGTCCCAACAGAGCTCCCATCTCCATCCCAACAGAGCTCCCATCTCCTTCCCAACAGAGCTCCCATCTCCGTCCCAACAGAGCTCCCACCTCCTTCCCAACAGAGCTCCCATCTCCATCCCAACAGAGCTCCCATCTCCATCCCAACAGAGCTCCCATCTCCATCCCGACAGAGCTCCCATCTCCATCCCGACAGAGCTCCCACCTCCTTCCCAACAGAGCTCCCATCTCCATCCCAACAGAGCTCCCATCTCCATCCCAACAGAGCTCCCACCTCCTTCCCAACAGAGCTCCCATCTCCATCCCACCCGGATCTCCATGGCTGTACCACGCAGATGCTCCCTCCCGGTGGTTGCAGAGGCGAGGGGGTGCTGGGACCGGGACACAGGGGGGTTTGGGACCGCTCCATCCCAGCGCCTCAGGCCCCCAGCGCCGCCCGGAGCCGCGGCTTCACCACCACATCCCCCTTGATGCTGTAGCTGAGGCTGCTCCAGGCCAGCAGCGCCGGCGGCAGGCGCAGGGACTGGAAGGCCGCCCGCATCCTGTCGGGGCTCAGCACCGTGTCCCACAGGTACACATCGGCCAGCTCGCCCGAGAAGGAGTTGTAGACATCAAACCCCCCCCCGAAGGCATCCTGCTCCTGCCCCAGCAGCACGACCGCCTCCGGCCCCACCGCGTAGCCCCGCTGGAGCCCCTTGCGTGGCCAGGGCTTCCCATCCAGCCAGAACTCGGCCATGCCGGTGCCCGATTCCCAGCCGGCGCAGACGTGCTCCCAGTCGCCGCGGCTCTCGGGGATGCGGAAGGTGACGAACTTGCCGCCGACGTAGAAGCGGTACTCGCCCGGTTTGGGCTTGAAGAGGAGGATCTCGTTGTCCTGCGCCTTGGTGGCGTAGGAGAAGAGGCTGTGGGGCCGCGTGAGGTCGGTGTAGGAGCGTAGGCACACGGTGAAGTTGAGCAGCGGCTGCTCTGGCTTCACCTGCAGCACCACGTAGGCATCGCTGGGGTCGTTCCGGAACACAAACACCTTGCGGTACAGGTCTGGGACACACACACACACACACACACAACAAGGGGATGTGGTCCCCTCCGAGCCTTCCTCCAGCCACCCGTGGGCACCGCATCCCTGACATCCCCTCTGCTGATCCCAGCCGGGCTCCAGCATCCTTCATCCCCGCTGGTCCTGCCTGACCCCATCCCCAGCATCGTCCCTACCTTCCTGTGCCCCGGTCCCCAGGAGCCCGGCCAGGACGCTGAGCCAGAGCCGCAGCGGTGCCATGGTCCCGGCTGCTGTGGTTGCACCGGGAGCCGCCGGGTTTATGGGCTGGAAGGGTGGGAGGGGAATTTCATCCCCCCCCCAATCCCAAGCCCATTCCAGGAGGAGCAATTTCACGCCGTCACAGGGCCCTGGGTCACCCGCCTGCACGGGGCAGCCCTGGAGCTGTGCCCTGGGGGGCTTCACCTCCACCCTCCCATCCTATCCCCAGGGACAAAGGGATGGAGCCCAAGGCTGGAGCCATCGGCACCAGAAGACCCCCCCCCCCCCCCATCCCGAGCCCTCCATCCGCTCCCATTCCATGTGCCTTGTGACAGCACGTGGCTGCTTCACATGGGCTCCGGCCAGCGCTGGGTATGACCTTCATTATGGCCATGGAACTCCATGATGAGCTTTTCCTGCTCCTTTAAGCAGCACACGCCTCCTGCTTCCCGTCCTTCAGCATTCCAGAGGCGAATGTCACCCCCGGTGCCCCCCAGCCCCGGTCATTCACTGAGCTTGGCAGCGCCTCCAGCACACGTATATATTGGATGCAATTCCCAGCATGGGGCTCACCCCAACTTGTCAGGAAAGAAGGACACCCCCCCCCACCCCCCATCACTTTGCATTGAACCCTCCCCATGGGTGCCCCTGAAGCCTTGGGGAGATGCTTGAGGCACCCCAGGGCGATGCCTATGGAGCGAATGGAGGTGGCCATCCCCAAGCAGTGGGGAAGGGGGATGGAGATGGGCACCAAGGCTGGGATGCAGCAGCTCCCCAAGGCCTGGGGGGAGCGTTGCTTATGGGGCAGGAGCGATGCTGTGGGGCGAGGGGCCGGTGCCAGCGCGGCAGAGCCAGGCAGCCAGCAGCAGCGCGGCGGGTCCCATCCAGCAGTGCAGCAGCCCCAGCGCCTCGCTCAGCCCCAGCACGTAGTCAAAGTGCTGGAAGGTGCTGCAGGTCTGCGGCAGGACCCGGCTGTGCAGGAGCAGCTCCATGGCCAGCGCCGCACCGTGCGGCACCCACAGCGCCAGGAACACCCAGCTCGCGGCCAGGTCCGGCACCCATTGCGCCCTCCACCGCGGCACAGCCAGCGCGGCCGTGGGCACTGCCACCGGCAGCAGCAGGAAGAGGCAGAGGCAGAGGCCGAGGTGCAGGAGGTTCACTGGGGACACGAGGTCCACGCTGCGCCGGAGGCAGCTTGGCTCCGGCACCGCCGTGGTGCCGCTGGTGAGAGCCCCTGGCATCGCCAAGAGCAGCGCCAGGGCCCACACGGCCACGGCCAAGCGCCGGCTCCGCGCATCCCAACGGCACCAGAAGTGGCCGCAGGAGCCGGAGGCCACCAGCAGCCCTTGGGCGAAGAGGCTCCAATACCAGAGGAGGTGCATGAGCCGGCACAGCGCCGTGCCCAGCCGCCAGCCCTGCCCGATGCCCAGCGCCATGGCTGGCAGCACCGCGGCCAAGAGCCCAGTCCCCATGGCCAACTGTGACACCAGCGCCCGGCTCTGTGACCATTGGGGCCGCTTGGCCAGTGCCAACAGCAGCGCCGCGGTGCCCAGCACGGCCATGGCGCTGGTGAGAGCCAGGAATGGGGGAGCCACACGCTGGAAGACGGAGCAGTATTGGTTATGGCACGGCGCGGCCCCGTAGTCCAGAGAGGTCTCATTGCCATCATCATCAGCATCATCATAGGAGGAGAAGTTGCCCATGAGCTCCACCAGGTCCAGCAGGGAACTCCTGCTCTCCAGGAGGCTGGGGCTCTGCGGATGAGACGGGCTGGGATGGATCCCGATGTGCCCCCACTTGGTGCCACGGGAGCCGGGCAGGGACTTATCAGCGAGGGCCACGCTGCGGGGACCCCGTCCCTGCTGCTCCTCCTCCCGCATCCAGCAAGCCGGGATAAACCCATGGAGCCGCACGCACTCACCACCGGGATGCAGTTGCCCATGATGGGGGTCCTGGGACAGCTCCGGCTCTGGAGGGGGGCTCCACAACCCCGGCTCCGAGCGCTCTCCCGCTGGCTCCTCCCGCTGCAGGGAGGTGATGGCTGCGGGCAGGAGATAAGAGCGGCCGCACCGGGCGGGCAATTCCTGCTGCCAGGGCCCGGAGGAAGCGGGGGCCCCGCTGCCGGGAAGGCACCGGAGAGGGACGGGGAGGTTGGAGCAGGAAACGACGGCTTCTTGGCAGAACAGCTCCAGCTCATCAGGAATTGTGTGGATGGGACGTGCGGATGGCTCCGGCTGCCGGCCCGGAGCGCGCCGGGTGGCAGTGCAGGGAGGAGAGGGGATGGCGTGGAAATGTGCTGCTCCGTCTCGGGATGCCCCAATGGGATCCTATGGGATCAATGTGGGGGGAAGCACAGGCTCCTGGTGCTGCAGCAGCAGCGGCAAATGTGGCTTGGAGGGAGGCTGGTGGCCACCGTGCATGGTGGGAGCATCCTCAACCACGGTGGGAGCATCCTCAACCACGGTGGGAGCATCCTCAACCACGGTGGGAGCATCCTCAACCACGGTGGGAGCATCCTCAACCACGGTGGGAGCATCCTCAACCACGGTGGGAGCATCCTCAACCACGGTGGGAGCATCCTCAACCACGGTGGGAGCATCCTCAACCACGGTGGGAGCATCCTCAACCACGGTGGGAGCATCCTCAACCACGGTGGGAGCATCCTCAACCACGGTGGGACCATCCTCAACCACGGTGGGACCATCCTCAACCATGGTGGAAGCACCCTCAGCCACGGTGGGAACATCCTCAGCCACAGTGGGACCATCCCGGAGGGCACTGGGGCTAAGAGGGGTGCTTTGGGAGCAGGAAAAGGTCTGATTTGGGGTGAGAGGGGTGCATGGGGCTGGGTCCAGACCCTGCTTTGGGTGCTGAGCTCTGTCCCACTCCCGGTGCCCCCCGGATCCCCCCATGGCGGGCGCAGGCAGAGCAGGAGGCACAGGCAGGTCCGTGTGTGTAATCCAGATATATTTATAGGATTATTTTCCGAGATTAGCACAGGATATTAAAAGGTTATAAAGTCACATCGACGTCCCTTGGCTCCCCTTATGTACATACACGTCGAACACAGCACAACGACACAGCCCGTCCTCTGCCCCGTCCCGCTGCCGCCCCACGGCGTCTCCAGAGCTCCCTACAAATATGGCTTTCGTGTCTATTGAGAGTTCAGTGCCGGTGGGAAGCGGCCGGAGCCGAGCTGGAGCTGCCATATCCCGGCTGCATCCTCCTCTGTCCACTTGCAGCCCCGGCTCCAATGTCCTGGTGATGGGCACAGGGTGGCCATGGGGCTGGAAGCCAATGGGTGCAGGCAACGAGGTGGCCCCGGTGGCAATAGCAGGGAGGGTGTCCCCTCCCCATGGTGACACTGGGTGCTGTCACCCCCATAGGGGCATCAAGGTCCTCACCCCCTCCATGGCCCACGTCACCTCTTGGGCTTAGGACAAGGTGGACCGGCCCCTCCTGGACCCCGTGTCCCATCTACAACCGGACAAGCACAGGGGGTACCCCTCACCTTGATGTGCTCACAACTGGCACCCGTCGTGACATACCCCCTATCGTGACATGGTGTGCTCACCACCACACCTCACCCTCGCCATGATCCATTCAACCACTCACAAAGTGGCTTCTCCATCACCTCGCTCCCCGCTGTGTCCCCGTGGCCGTGTGCCCCGCATGGGTGACCTGATGGATGTGCCCATCACCCTCACACGCACCACAGGGCTTCATCACCCCTCGCTGCTGCTCCCTTCCATCCTCCAAAGCCCTTTGGCTCCTGCTCTTGCCGCAGCAGGACAATGGGCATCACCCAGCCCATCCATTGCTGGTGGGTCCTGCCTGTCCTGGCTCCATCCTGGACCATAAAACACCTCCAAGAGACCAAATCCCGACTGGGTTGAGCCTTGGAACAGCAGCCGCAGCCTCAAAGGGGCACAAACCTCCCTGTCCTCAGCTCCCACCTTCCTGCCCTTTAGGAGCAGTTACCCCCTTGCCACCCCGAGCCCCAGGTTGGGGCTTTCTTCACATCATCTACAACACATAGACTTGAGAGATTGAACTCCACTTGGAATCACATCCTTGTGTTTGGATTTGAAGGAATGATGTCTGTTCAAGAGCGGATGGTGGAGATCTTCAGCCAAGGACTGGGGCCACACGTTCCTATGTGCTCGGTGCTCCTGACACCCAACAAAGCCTCATCCTGTCCCCACATAGGCTGCAAACACCATCAACTCCTTCACCCCTTGAGCCATGCTGCCTCCTCTTCCAACCCTGCTCCTTCCACCATGGGCTTCCCCATGGGAATCCTCCTCCTGCCACGTGCTCGTGGGGTCTGGATGGGAGCGATGCTCCCCATGGAGACCTGGTACCCCACGGAGACCCCTGCCCCATGGGGGAGGATGGGAGCTCTTCCTTCACCTCCAAGGCGACGTCACCACCCACCAAGGGTTCCCAAAGGATTCTCCTCCTCCAGCCCACCCAAAATCAAAGGGGCACCCAACCAATGGGCAGCTCCCCTTGTGTCTAGACCAAGAGATGCTGCGATCCTGGGAAGCTGGAGAGCCTCATCCCAAGGGAGAGCGCCAAGACCTGGCTCCTTGGATGCTGGAGCCCATGAGCCCATGACCTGGGGATCAAGAGGAAGGCCAGGAAAGCTGCTTGGATTTGCCTTGGAAGAGGCAGTGAAGAGGAAGGAGGAGGTTGACCCCCCCCCCCCCCCCCCCCCGCCCAAACCACCTCACAGACCCCTTGGGACACTAAACCGGGTGTTTCGTTTGGAGCCAGGAGGGAAACGGCCTTTTCCCAGCTCCCATCCACCCGGGAAGGGGGACAGGGTGGGAAGGGGATGCTCCAGGATCGGAGCCCCTTCTCCTCGCCCTTGTGCCACCCTGGTCAGCTCCAGCTCAGCTCCTGCAGGTCCAGCACTCGGCCGGTGGCCTCCTGCACTGAACGTCTCAATAGAGGGTTGTGAATCGACCTTGGAATAGATGGTTCCGAATGGACTTGGTATAAAGTTGGGGCCCTTTTTCCTCTGGATTCGCCCCTAAAGCTCCTCCCTCCCCCCTCCCGCTGGGGTGGGACCGGGGAGCTGCAATCCCAGCAGCTCCCAGTCTCTCCGGGGGCTCAGCGGATCCCACCCTGGAAGCTCATCCCCCTTCACACACGTTCCACACGAGGACAGCTTCCTCCCATATGGACACTGTTGGACAAGAACCACCAAGGATAAAATCAGGGCAGGGGTCTGGGGTCCCCTCCCGGCGGCGGCGATGCCCCAGTTCCCATCCCACCGCATCCGGGGAGGGAACACCGGGATCCCGGCTCCGGATGGGCGAGCGCTGGTGACAACGGGGGCTGCCCTGAGCCCGGAGGCTGATTTTATCCTTGGGTACCTCAAAAAGAAACCAAACCGGAACGAAACGAAGGAAAGAGCGACATCGACCCCAGCCCAGGCTCCCACCCGAGGGCCCAAAGCAAAAGAGCAGCCACGAAACCAAAGCAAAGGTCCAAAGGAAGGAGGGGAAATCGCTCACTCACGGGGATGGAGGCGCAAAGCAAGCGAGCGGGGCCGGAGCCGCCGCTCCTGGAAACCAGGGGTTGGCCAAGTTCAAGCATCAGCGGCGCGGCTCAGGCCGGTGGCTCCTGTGCTCCCCTGTCCCGCATCCCTCAGCCCGGGGCTGTGCCGGGTGCCAGGGGAAGTGCAGGGGGTGCAATGGGTTAGGGTCGTGCTCTGGTTTCCGTCGCCATCGCTGCCTCCATGGCTCGCTCGGTCCCGCTCAGCCCTAGATGAAGTATTCCTTCTTGTCGTCGCCGCCCGCCTGCCCGCCCTCCGCGTTGATGATGGCGGTGTCGGCATCCGGGGCATCATCCGAGCCCTTGGCCTCGTGGGTCAGGTATGTGCCTGTGGGGACACACACACACACACACACAAAGGGGTTTGGTGTCACAGGAGGGGTGCTGCTGTCACCCCGCTCCCACACAAAGCAGGGCAGAGGGGCAGAGCCCCAGGGCTGGACAATGGAAGTGATGGGGAAGTCCTTTGGGCTTGGCCTGCAATGGAAAAGTCACTGGGATGAGCCCAGCTGGGGATGGAGCTCGAGGCTTTCGCTGTCATCCCGAGCCAGGAGGTGAAGGTGCCTCTCCTGCCCTCCCCGCTCTCTGCTCCCGCCCGATCCCTGTGGTCCCTAAGGAATGCGGAGCGCTCCGGCGAGGGGCCGGGCTCGAGGGCAGGGTGGGGGGCTCTTACTCACACATCACCTCTGCTGGCTTTGGCCGGTGTCTGGATGTGACCGTCTCCCCGTGTCTTATGCACATACCTGCCGGGCGGATGAAAAGTCCAGGGATGGGGACATGGAAGTGGCGGAGGGGAAGGAGGAAGGCGAGGGATGGAGGGGGAGAGCTCGGTGCTGGGTACCAAGCCGTGAAGGAGAGATGGAGGAACAGGGCAGGACCTGGCGCTCCCCAGCTCCAAGGACTCGCTGCGTTATCTCCACGCTGATGCTGGTGCCACCGCGGGCACGGGGAGCCCGGGAGGGCTCCGGGATGACGTTGTCGCGATGCGGAGCTGCCCCTTCACCCCTGCCCCACCCCACGTGTGGGGCTCGGCCCCACGCGCTCGGTACCTTTGTGTCTGATCAGGTAGTGGCCCAGGACGATGAGGAGGCTGAGCAGGAGGAAGACGATGACGGCCACGACGCCGCCGATCACCGCGTGGTACGTGCTGGAGGTCGAGGGCACGGGGCTGGCGTCTGGGGCAACAGAGAGGGGGAGATGCTGCGGCACAGGCTCAGCCCCATCCTGACACGCACCGGAGCAAAGGAGGGAGGGTGGGAAGGGAAGGAGGCAGCGGGGAAGCGAGGAAGGGAAAGCAATGGCCACCGGTGCCGGCTCTGGATGGGCTGCGATGGGAAGCCCCATCCCCTTTGGCTGGCGGCAGCACCAGCACCATGCTCTGCGCAGCCCAGGGTACCTCCGCGTTGGGATTTGCCCATGGACCCCAAGTCCTGGGATCTCACATTAGGGACAAATCCTCCTTCCACTCCTCGCTCCTTGTGCCCGTCAGCTCAGGGAGGGGATGGAGCCACAGAAGCGCTCGGACGGGACGGGGTGGGACAAACAGGACACGGGGACGACGCTCCACATGGACACAAAGCTCACGGGCAGCCAGGACCCCGCGGGGCTGGATGGTGGCTGCAGAGCCCACGCACACACAGAGCACAGAGCATCCCCAGGGGCCTGGGGGGCACCTGGGGTGTGAGTGGGTCCCTGTCCTCCTATGGAGCTTCTGGCGTCCGTAAAGAGACAGAAAAGGAGCTTACGGTACCTTGGATGGGAGCTGGAGTGAAGGATGAAGCGGTGGCCATGGAAGCATGAGAGATGGGCTGGGAAGGGCCCGGAGTGGAGTGAACGTGTGGGGTGGGGAGCTGGGGAAGATCTGAGGAGGACAAGAACACAGGGACACGAATCAACCCCGGGGGGAGGCGTGACAGAGCCCAGCCTCAGGGGCTCCTTCTGGTCCCCACTTCCTTGGCCATGGGTCCTGCTCCTCATCTCCTGCTGTGAGCATCAGCCCATCTCCTGCCTTACCAGCATCCCCTGATGACTGCCCCATAGGACCCTCCTGCCTGGGGCTGCCGAGGTTGGGAAGCATCCGGATGCTCCAGGGATGGGCAAAAGAGGGAGAATTTGGGAAGGGGACTGAGCCTCAACGTGGAGCTCGTCTGCTGGGACACCCAGTGGGTGAGGGATGCTGGAGTCGTGGCTGCCACGTGCCTCCGCATGGTGCTGAGTGCCCTTGGCAGCACAAAACTGGTCCCTGCATAAAGCTCAGACCCACAGGGATGGGGGGGGAACACTGGGGTGATGGAGGAACGGGACAGAGGGACTTGGGTGCCACTGCTGCCATGCACTGCGTCTACCCCAGCCACGTTGGAGGGGAGGGATCCTGAAGGTGCCCAACGCAGGAGGGGAGGGAATGGGATAGGAAAGGGAAAAGCTGAAGCATGTAGGAGAGCTGGAAGATGGGAAGTCCAAGGCTGGTAGAGAGAGAAGAGAGATGGCAAAAAGAGGAGAACCCCAAATCCAGAGGGGAAACAGGCTCCTGCCAACACACGGGGGTGGTACCACCAGCAGCTCTGCTCCGGGGGCAGCACACGGAGCTCGGACACAGCAGGACACAAGGACACGGTGGCAGAGCACAGGCAGGGCAGGGGGAGGTGGTGTGGGGACAGCACCGAGCCCCTTCCCATGCAGGATCATGGGATGCAACACGCCAGGAACACGGGATGCAACACGGGATGCAACGCAAGCAGCAGCTCAGGGAGCACGGGACAGGGCTGCCAGGGCACCTCGTGCTTTGGAGCCGGCTGGGAATGTTCTTTGGCTCGTGGAGGCATCACACAGAGGCTCAGGAGCTGCGTCAGCCTCTGCTCCTGTCCCAGAGGCTCTGCTCTGCAGCAGCTCCCCCAATGCATCTGCTCCCATTCCCCAACGGAGGCAGCAGGGACCGAGCTGCACACACGCACCTGCATCCCTGCATCCATCCATCCATCCCTGCATGCTTCTATCCATCCTGGCACCCCTTCATCCATCCCTGCATCTATACTTCCCTGCATGCATGCATCCATCCCTCCCCGCATGCATGCATCCCTGCATCCATCCCTGCATGCATCCCTTCATCTCTGCATCCCTCCCTCCATTCCTGCATCCCTCCATCCATCCATTCCTGCATCCCTGCACCCATCCCTGCATCCCTCCACCCGTCCATCCATCTCTGCACCCATCCATCCATTCCTGCACCCATCCATCCATCCCTGCACCCATCCATCCATCCCTGCACCCAACCATCCATCCCTGCACCCAACCATCCATCCCTGCACCCATCCATCCATCCCTGCATCCATCCATCCATCCATCCATTCCTGCATCCATCCATCCATCCTTTCCTGCATCCATCCATCCATCCTTTCCTGCATCCATCCATCCATCCTTTCCTGCATCCATCCATCCATCCTTTCCTGCATCCATCCATCCATCCTTTCCTGCATCCATCCATCCATCCTTTCCTGCATCCATCCATCCCTGCATCCATTCCTGCATCCATCCATTCCTGCATCCATCCATTCCTGCATCCATCCATTCCTGCATCCCTGCATCCATCCATCCATCCCTCCACCCATTCATCCATCCCTGCACCCATCCATCCATCCCTGCATCCATCCCTGCACCCATCCCTCCCTGCATCCACCATTCCATCCCTGCATCCCACGGGGGACAGACCCTGCTTACCGCTGACGTCCAGGTTGTACTTGGCCACGACGCTGCCCATGGAGCTGGTGGCCGTGCACACGTAGGTGCCGCTGTCGCTCTTGTTGAGGAAGGGGAAGATGAGGACGCTGTCGGAGCTCAGCTGCAGGGGAGCGTCGCTGCCCTCCTTCTCCCATAGGAATTCCTGGGGGCTGCGGGATGGGATCAGGGTGAGGAACCGGCCCCAGGGCTGGGCAGTGGAGGTGGGGGGGGATTTAAACATTTAAACAGCTCCATGAGGCTCCTTAAAGGGGAGAGCTCAGAGCAGCTCCAGTGCCTAAAGGGGCTGCAGGAAACCTGGAGAGGGGCTTGGGACAAGGGATGCAGGGACAGGCCAAGGGGAATGGCTTGAACCTGCCCGAGGGGAGACTGAGCTGAGCTCTTAGGCAGAAGCTCTTCCCTGTGAGGGTGCTGAGGCGCTGGCACAGGGTGCCCAGAGAAGCTGTGGCTGCCCCATCCCTGGCAGTGCTCAAGGCCAGGTTGGACACAGGGCTTGGAGCATCCTGCTCCGGTGGAAGGGGTCCCTGTCCAGGGCTTTGGATGAGCTTTAAGGTCCCTTCCAACCCAAACCAGTTTATGATCCCATGAAACATCTCATTTAAGACAAGCCGGGATGGATCCGCTGCTCCAGGGGCTCTGCCCAGTTCTGAGCCCAACCGGTGCCACCTCCAACACCTTGAGGCTGCTTTAGGGACCCAGCAGCAGGAGGAGGAGCTGATGGGACCTAGTGGGGCTGAGCGAGGGGCAAGGGGGTCCTTACATGGGGTTGCCCTGCCCATCGCACTGCAGCTGCAGCTTCTCGCCCTCCCGCGGGTACTGCGGATGCGGCTCGATCTTCGCTGTCGGCTTGTCTGGGGATGGAGGAGAGGCAGCGTCAGGGGCCAGCACCCCAAACCCCAGCTCTACGGGCTGCAGGGACCAGCCAGCACCCCAAAACCCTGCTCCATGGGTTGCAGGGACCAGCCAGCACTCCAAAACCCTGTCCCACACAGGGCATGGACCCACCAGCACCCCAAACCCCTGCTCCATATGGCACAGGGAGCAGCCAGCACCACAAAACCTTCCTCCATGAGCTGCAAGGGACCAGCCAGCACTCCAAAAACCTATTCCACACAGTGCATGGACTCATCAGCACACCAAAACCCTGTTCTGTACAGCACAGGGACCCCCCCAGCATCCCAAAACCCTGCTCCATATGGCACAGGGACCAGCCAGCACCCCAAGCCCCAGCTCTATGGGCTGCAGTGACCCCCCAGCACCCAAAAACCCTGCTCCACGGGCTGCAGGGACCAGCCAGCACCCCAAACCCCAGCTCTATAGGCTGCAGGGACCAGCCAGCACCCCAAAACCTTGTTCCATGGGCCGCAGGGACCAGCCAGCATCCCAAAACCTTGTTCCATGCGGCACACAGACCCCAGCAGCACCCCAAACCCCAGCTCTATGGGCTGCAGGGACCAGCCAGCACCCCAAAACCTTGTTCCATGGGCTGCAGGGACCAGCCAGCATCCCAAACCCCAGCTCTATGGGCTGCAGGGACCAGCCAGCACCCCAAAACCTTGTTCCATGCAGCACACGGACCGCAGCAGCACCCCAAACCCCTTCCCCACGCTATGCAGGGACCCCAGTGCGTGACAACGGCACGTCCATGCACGTGATGGTGCCGAGCTGTGGCGATGCTGAGGCTCTTCCATCCCCTGTCCCCCTTCCCCACAGATCCCTGCCCTGTGCCCCCCTACACGTACAGTGAACCTGCAGCTTCTGCGTGGTGGACCTCTCTGCGTTCTGCAGCGACTCGTGGTCCACGGTGCAGGTCACCTCGGCCTCGTTGTCCTCCTTGGTGACCCGGAATTCCACGCGGCTGCTCACGGTGAAGGTCTTCCCATTGGGATCCTCCACCACCTCGGTGCCCTCGTCTGCAGGGAGGGGGACAAGGCAGGGTCAGAGCTGACGGATGCGGGCGATGCTGGCACCGCTGCGGAGCATCCCTTTGGGGCAGGGCACCAGCGTGGTCCATGGTGCCCAATGGTGGTTCGGGCACCCACCTTTGAGCTCCTTGTTGCCCTTCCTCCAGCGGAGCTGTGCCGCGGGCTTGCTGCCCGACGAGCGGCAGGTCAAGCGCGCCAGCTTCTCCTCGTCGATGGGCTGCTCGTGCCCGAAGATCTGCGGCTTCTGCGGCACTCCTGGGGCAGGAGGAGGTGGGAGCACAACGGGGGGGGGGGGTTGTTTGAGCGCTGCCAGCCGGGCACCGACACCGGAGCCGGGGAATGTGGTGAGGGATGCGGAGCAGCGCAGAGGGATGGATGCATGGGCAGCAGCCTGCAGGCAGGGGATGCAGGGAATGGGCAGCAGCCTGCAGGCAGGGGATGCAAGGGATGGGCAGCAGCCTGCAGGCAGGGGATGCAAGGGATGGGCAGCAGCCTGCAGGCAGGGGATGCAGGGAATGGGCAGCAGCCTGCAGGCAGGGGATGCAGGGAATGGGCAGCAGCCTGCAGGCAGGGAATGGGCAGCAGCCTGCAGGCAGGGGATGCAAGGGATGGGCAGCAGCCTGCAGGCAGGGGATGCAAGGGATGGGCAGCAGCCTGCAGGCAGGGGATGCAAGGGATGGGCAGCAGCCTGCAGGCAGGGGATGCAGGGAATGGGCAGCAGCCTGCAGGCAGGGGATGCAGGGAATGGGCAACATCCTGCAGGCAGGACATGCAAGGGATGGGCAACATCCTGCAGGCAGGGGATGCAGGGAATGGGCAGCAGCCTGCAGGCAGGGGATGCAGGGAATGGGCAACATCCTGCAGGCAGGACATGCAAGGGATGGGCAACATCCTGCAGGCAGGGGATGCAGGGAATGGGCAGCAGCCTGCAGGCAGGGGATGCAGGGGATGGGCAACATCCTGCAGGCAGGACATGCAAGGGATGGGCAACATCCTGAAGGCAGGACATGCAAGGGATGGGCAGCAGCCTGCAGGCAGGACATGCAAGGGATGGGCAGCAGCCTGCAGGTAGGGGATGGGCAGCAGCCTGTGAGCAGGGAATGGACAGCAGGAGATGCAGGCCACGGGCAGCAGCCTTACCCAGCACGGTGACCAGGGCCTTGGCGGTCCGCACGGGCATGGTGAAGAGGGAGCACGTGTATTCCCCCTCATCCGACAGCACCACATCGCTGATGCTGATGGTCAGCTCGTTGGGGGTGGATTTCTCCAGCTGGATCCTGTTATCCCGCAGGGCTGGGGCAAAGGGACAAGGGGTGAGTGAGAGGCTGGGTACCACGTCCCCCCTGCCAGCTCACGTGGCATCAACGGAGGTGGGAAACAGGGTGAGCGTCACCCTCAGCACCACCACCACCGCTCTCCCTCTGCCCCGTGGTCCCAAAGCTGGCTCCTCTCCCATCCCAATTCCCAATTGTACCTCGCTTCTCCCCAAAGTAGAGGGTCTGCTGGGCAGGGTTGGACCATTGCAGCGAGGAGTCATCGGGATCCTCCACTTGGCACTTGAGGACCACGGTACCGCCGGCCACCACGGTCTCATCCGACGTCGTGGGCTGGCTCTCTGGACACAGAAGGGATGGGTTAAAGGGGGCCTGGATCCATCAGCATCACCGAGCACCCAAAGGAAGGAACAGGCCCCAAGCCCCTGGGACATGGGAGGGCTCCAGCTTGCTTGGGACAAAGGTGATTTCCAGCTGATCCCAAGCCCTGGATGGGGCAGGGGATGGGGTCCCCCTGATTCAGCTGCTCTGAGTGGCAGCATGGAGGGGGCAAAGGGAACAGGGATAAAGGGGGCAGGGGACAACAGGGACCTGCTCTCAGGCACGCACCAGCCCTGCTTTCCCACTCGGATCTGGCCCCACTTCAGATGCAGGAGCTGCTTGGTGCCCACCAGGCATGAGCGGATCCAGGCAGGAACAGGGATTCACCAGGAGGGACCCTGGGATGGGGGAAGCTCCGCTCCAGCACCCCAGCAGCAGCAGCAAACTGGGGCTCCCACCATCGCCCCACACCATGGGATGCTCCATTGGCCACCTCCAGGAAGAGCATCCATGGTCCACTGAAATCCATTGGGAACACAGCCTGCTCTCTGCCATTCCTAAGGGGATGTGCTATTGCTCACACTGGGCTGTGCTTCCTCACCTAAGGAATTGTCCTTCCTTCCGGCTCCTCAGAGGGCTCCAGCAGCCCAAGGGCAGGGAAGAGCAGCCCCGGGATCAGGTATCCCCCCCAAGGACAAGGGATGTGCTGCAGGGACAAGGGGAACACGGGCTCCACTGCGCTCCCTCCTCATCCAGCTCCATCCATGGACAAGGACGGAACATGGCCACTGCTGCACCCAGGGGCTTCACATCATCTCCCCCCCCCCCCCCCCATTTAGGCACCCCGTGGGATGCTGCCCATGCAGCCGGATGTCACAGCCCTGCTTCCCCACTGCCAGTTACCGGGAGAGGGGTGGAAGCGGCTCCAGCCCATTTCCCGCTTGGAATGGCGAAGGGAAACACTTTTCTTCCACTCCTAATGCGAATTCCCACAGGGAGCGAGGTTTTGGAGGGGGATGAGGCTGCCGGGGCTTCCCAGGGACATCCAGCTCCAGGAAAACCAGGGCTGGGAATGACCCGGATCCCTCTCTGCCTGCTTCCAGCAGCCACCACTACCAGAGATGCTTCCAATTGGGATTAAAGGCATTCCCGGGGTGAAGCACTGCTGCTGTCCCCTGCCTGGGGTCGATGTGAGGCCATGGGGACACGTCCCTGCACGTCCCACACTGGGATCCCTGCGCCGGGGCCGTTATCCCGGTTCCACTTGGTTAACGAAGCCTTTGTCCTGCTCCGGCTGCAATGCTGGGATGAGGCTGCTGCGAGTCGCTGTTGTCCCCACTGCAAGCGCTCCAACGTCAGCTGAGGACAGCAAAACCCACCCAGAGCAGGCCCCATCCCTTAACAACACCGGCACCACCAGCACCGGCATCACCCGGGTATGGGGAGAGACGGAACCATGGAATGGTTTGGGTTGAAGGGACCTTAAAGCTCATCCAGCTCCACAGGCAGGGACCCCTTCCACTGGAGCAGGATGCTCCAAGCCCTGTGTCCAACCTGGCCTTGAGCACTGCCAGGGATGGGGCAGCCACAGCTTCTCTGGGCACCCTGTGCCAGCGCCTCAGCACCCTCCCAGGGAAGAGCTTCTGCCTAAGAGCTCATCTCAGTCTCCCCTCGGGCAGGTTCAAGCCATTCCCCTTGGCCTGTCCCTGCATCCCTTGTCCCAAGCCCCTCTCCAGGTTTCCTGCAGCCCCTTCAGGCACTGGAGCTGCTCTCAGGTCTCCCCTTCAGGAGCCTTCTCTTCTCCAGGCTGCCCCAGCCCAGCTCTCTCAGCCTGGCTCCATGGCAGAGCTGCTCCAGCCCTTGCAGCAGCTCCGTGGCTTCCTCTGGCCTCGGAGCCACCACCCCAGGTGCCAGCAGCATCCCGGGGGCACAAGGATGCTCTGGAAACCCGGCTGCAGTGAAGAACGCTTCCAGCTCTTCCCAGCACAAGGGTTAATCCAGCCCCTGTGAGCCCGGGATGTGCTGGCCACTTGGGTACCATCTGCCCACTGCCAGGACAGAGCTGCTGCTCCCGCTGTCCCAGGGGCCACCCCAGCTCCTACATAGACACAAACACCCTCTGCAGCACCGCATCCCCGGGGGCTTTTACATCCCTTCTGCCTCCCAGGAGCTGTTTCATCACCTGGAGCATCCTCAGGGATGCAGGAAGCAGCAGCATCGCAGCCTCCATGGTGCATCCACACCAACCTCAGCGGGGCAAAGTGCTCACTGAGGGCTGCCAAAGGCTGGAGGAGGTGCTTGGGCACATCCATCCTGAGCCCCTCAGAGGGCTGCAAAAGCACTTCTGTGGGGCACAAGCAGCCCCAAAAGACACCCTCCCCCAGCTCAAACCCCTCCGATGCCATTGACCCACAGCCCAAAACGCTCTTGTCCCCTTCCTCCTCCTCTTCAGGCTGGTTCCAGCACAAAGATCCCACCTTTCCCTGTTGACAGACCTTTTCCAAGGCGAGGGATCTCCTCCGAGCCTGGGTTTGAATCCTTCCCCCCACATGAGCTGCACAGCTCCGCTCCCAGCCGCATCCTGCCACACGGAGCAGCCCGGCCAAGGTGGGTTCCCAAAGCCTTCCAAATGGGCTCTGACATCTGCTGCACCAGATGAGCTGCAGTTCCACAGTCTGGGATACCCGGAGCCCAGCTTCCAGCTCCTCCTCACCAGACTCGCTCCAGATTTTGTTAGAGAGGGAAAACCTGCTCTTGTTTCCGTGCATCTGCTCCATCCTCTTCCCTCCATGGCTGCCTTTGGAATCCGGCCTCACGCAGAGGATTCATCCCTCTGGGAGCCACAGGGCACGGAGCCTCCTGCAGCACCTCCAGCACCCTTCCATGGGAGGGGGGGCTGAGATGCTGGCACAGGTTGGGGCTCTGCTTGTCCATAACAGAGCCCAGCTCCCATCCCCACACACGGAGCTGGGATCCTCTCTCTGGACACATCCCTCAGCGTGCTCTGGGGAAGGGCAAAGCGCAAGGACCCAGCTCCCCATCACAGCCCCCAGGTCCTCCCGAGGCCACACAAGATGCTTTGGTCGCAGCCTCCACCACCCCACTGCTGCTCCTGCAGCAGGGTCCTGCTCCAAGGAGCACCAGGACCTGACCCTGGGTGATTCCAGAGCTGCATCCTCCTTCCAGAGCTCGGGAACACCATCACCCCTGACAGACCCTGCCTCTGGGCATGGCCAAAGCCTGAGCTGCTTATGGCCAGCACTTAGCAACCCATCAGCAGCAAGGAGAGGAGGAGAGGAGAGGCTGGCTCCAAGTGCTGCTGGATCCCAGGATGCTCTGTCCCCATTCTCCTCCTCACACCCCCACCCTGTCCCAGTGCTCCGGGGCTGGATCAGCCCCATTGCTGGGATGGGAGCTGGGGAACCCCTGATGGCAGCAGCAGCGTTGTTGCAGCTCCACTCTTGGGTTTGTGCACTCACACAGGTCTGGGGGCTCCACAAAGGCACCGTCAGGGAATCCCGGTGCTCCTGAGGCCACATGGATGGGAGGATGCAGCCACCACCACCAGCCAAAGGCCAAAGCTCCAAGTCCTTGGGCAGGGATGAGGAGGGGGAAAGCCCTGCTCTGGACCACGCATCCCCAGCATCAAATCCATCCGCAAAGGGGGCTGCTTCCCATGGGAAGGAGCAGCGGCTCGGGCGGGCGATGGGCAGGGCTGACCCTCCTCCTGTTTGACAGCAAACAGCTGATAACTCCTCTTTGGAGCCTGTTCCTTCGCTCCCAGCCCAAGGCCAATCTCCGGCACGGCTGTTGCCAAGGGAACCAGCTCTTTGCTTTGACAGATCTGGTTTAAGGCTCTCCCGCTGCCCAGCGAGGCGTCGCGGGAGCCGCCGCTTCCCATGCCCTGGAATGTCGCTCCGTGCTTTGGAGGCATCCGAACGCTCCAGAGCGCTGCCCAAGGAGCCAACGTGAGGCTGTAACGGGAGCAGGACATGGGGAAGCCCTGGCAGCTCCCATCCGAGGGGACAGCGCATCCACGGGGACCACGCATCCATGGGGACCGCGCATCCACGGGCATCCTCCTGGCTTCCTGCAATGATGGGAGGGAAGAGGCGTTTCAAGGGGTGAGGATACAGGTTCAGCTCTGCTCTGGTCTTCCAGGTGACTTCCAGTCCTGGGAATCCTCATATCCCAATGGATGCCCAATGGGAAGCGCTCTCAGCATTGGCTGTAGCCCGCCAGATCATCGCTGTGGTTGCAGGGTCTGTCCTGTTTGGAGGTGACATCCCCAGCATCCCAAGGAGAGGAAAGCCAAAACAGGAACCGAAGCTGGGGAGATGGGAGACAAAACCCTCCCCCGGGAAGCACCGTGATGCTGACCTGCATCTGCGTGCTCAGGGTGAAGGGGCCTGAATGAAGACACCACCAGGACCATCTCTCCCCATGGCTTCCACATCAGGCTGGGAGATGGAGCAATGGCACAGAAAGGAGGACCAGGCATGGACACAGACAAACACATCCCACCTCTGGGGGACAGCTCCTCATAGGGCCATGGGGTCCCTGTCTTCTGGTACCACCAGCCCTGCGTGAGGAAGGGATCCCGGCTCCTGCACAGCATCTGCCTGCAGCCACTCAGTCCACAATCCTGGAATGGTTTGTGTTGGAAGGGACCTTTAAGCTCATCCAGTTCCACCCCCCTGCCATGGGCAGGGACCCCTTCCACTAGAGCAGCTTGCTCCAAGCCCCTGTGTCCAGCCTGGCTCTAAACACTGCCAGGGATGGGGCAGCCATCAGCACAACCTGTTCCTGCTTCTCCCTGGAAACGAAGGCCTGGAAGCAGCCACAAAAGCTTTGGCCTGAAGATAACGCCCCACATGGGGCTCGTCAGTAAATCCACTGCCTGAAGCATTTAAGGTGAAGAAGAGGAGGTGGAGCCCGGCCTGGAGCATCACCTGAGGAAGAGCAGGTCCCTGCAGCACCAACAGGAGGATCTCACCAGCGACAGGGTCACCAGGAAAGATGCCACCATCCATGTTAGAGCCGATGGCACCCGGGCGGAGGGAGCCGGTACCCTCAGCATCACACCGGAGGCAGAGCATGACGCCAGGCAGGTGACTGGAATGGTTAAACACATTCCTGCCCATCCCTCCACACGGATCTCCGCTTCCCTGCATCCCGCCTGCTCGCTTGAGGCAGCCCCGGCTGCGTTTAGGGCTGCCGGCATCCCAAACACAACAGAGCATCACCGCATCCGAGCCCAGCCTGGCTCCAGTCCATCCCCCTGCCTTGGGAAGGGCCACACAGCCCAGGGGGGGAATGTGGGAGCTCTTTCAGAGCGGGAGGGAGAGCCCCATAGCATAGGATCACAGAATGGTCTGGGTGGGAAGGGACCTTAAAGCTCATCCAGTTCCAACCCCTGCCATGGGGCTGAGACCCACTATTCCAGGCTGGATATTCCCAACCTACCCTGGAAAGAGGATGGAGGTGCTGGGGCAGGAGGTGATTTGCACCCCCCCCTCATTGCTGCGTGATGAAGGGGAGGTGGAGGTGATGCTGCTGCTTCGCTCCACGGCTGTGGGGCCCTGGCCAAGAGCGGAGGGGAGAGAACTGGACCAGATGGTTCAAGCTGAGCTGACCCAGTAATGGAGAGGAGGAGGAGGAGGATCCGATGCATCTGACTCCGGGGCTGTGACAGGGCTGGCATCGCCCCCGAGGCCCCATGGAGGAGGCAGCTCAATCTGTGCCACTCCATCAGCAGCCGGTGGCCAGGCTGGGGCTGGGGAAGGAGCCTGCAGAAGGGCTCAGATGGAGACAAGGCACCGGTGGTACCAAACCAGGCACCGGCACGGGGAGCAGCCCCCGCTCTGCCACATAGATCCAGGGGGAAACGGATCCATTGGAGCATCACCACCCAAAGGCACCTGCATCCTGCTCCTCCTCACCCGGGGGGCACCATGGATGGGGTAAAACCAGGCTGAACCCGGCCCAGTGAAACCAAGCGATAACGTTGGTGGGAGCACCCAGATGTAGACGCCCCCGGTTACTCCGGCAATCCCAACACCTCTGGAAGGTGAGAATTCCAGGCAGAGGGAGAAGAGGCAGCATCCAGCACGCAGGAGACCTCCCCAGGCAGGGAATCCTGGGCGCTTCCCTCCATCTCCAACCCAGATAAGGATGGTGCCCACACTTGGAGGTGCCCGGCTGGTGATTTAGGTCTGTTGGGAATTCCTCCTCCTCCAACCAGGAAGCTCCCAGCAAATCCCCCCCTTGTCCTCAGCAGCCAAATCCCAAGCCCATGCTCAGGACAGCGGCAGAATTCCGGCCCCCCAGCAGTGATGCCAGCACATCCCTCACTGTCTGGGTATGCAGTGGGATCACCACTTGATCCCATGCATTGTCTCCGAATCCAGTGCTCCCCGTTGAGCCTAATGCATTGTGCCAGCGGCTGGATGCTCTGCTCCTGCCAACCTCCTCATCCTAGGATCATCCCGTGCTTCCTGCGGGCAGCTGATCCATCACCAAAGAACAGGCCATGGAGCAACGCCTGCACCTCACCGGGGTGCTCCCAGGTGCATGGAGAGCTCTGGGGCCGCATGGAACCATGCGTTCCCACCACCCAGCCCTGCACACCAGGGCTCATCCCACTGATGCCATGGGCTGGAAGTCCCAGATTCCCACAGGACCAGAGCTGACACCTCCCCTCAGAGCTTCAGGACCACGGGACCATCACCTGCCAGAGATGGGGGAACCCTGCAGGACCCCAAACCTCTCCCTGTGCTCCCACCCCTGTTCCAACTGGAAGGACACCATCTGGAAGCACAGGGCAGAGAAAGCTCCTCCTGCATGCTCTGACCGAGCACCTCCACCGGCTTCAGAGATGAAGCCACCTTGTGGCATGGGGCCAGCCTGCCCCTGCCTCCCTGCAAGCACCAGGGAGCTCACCTCGCCGTGCTCCACCTCAAGGCGATCTCCAGAGCATCCTCAGCCAGCAGAGACATGGGGCACAAGGCACCCAACAAGCCAAAACATCGACAGACCCAGAGCTGCCCCATTTACCCCCCCAACCAGGCAGCCCCAGCTCCAGGACCTTCAGCACTGAGGCTTCTCCCAGCAGGAGCAACGCAAGCGATGAGCGGAGCGGCTCTGGTACAGTGAGACCGGAGCTCAGCTCCCCACGGTGCTGCTCGTGGCCCACAGCGGGGTGAGCACAGGCAGAAGCAGCCCCGAGAAGCCGGGTTCTGGCACATGGTGGCTTCCCATGGGACAACAGTCGGGCACTGTTCAAACAAAGGGGTTACACAACTCCGGAGGGGAATATCTCCATGGGGGGGGGAATAATCCTCGGAGCAAGAACAACCACGCACCCAACCCAAACACGGAGCAATCTGCTGACAGCAGCACAACCCCAGCCAAGCACACACAGCCCCGGGGGGAGGCACCAGCTTCCAGCAGCAGGGAGACTCCCAGGAGCTCCGCTGGGCTCTGCCATGGTGGAAGCTCCGGAATCTGGAGCATTGGAAAAGCGTTCTTCAAGGAGAGGAGATGGTTTCTCCATCCCTGCTTTGGGAAGCGGCTGTCCCGGCTGGAATGCCGTGCTGAGGGGCACTGACCACCGAGACACGTCAGCAGCTTCTCAAGCATCTTCCATCCATCCCCTCTGCTCCCAAAGGCCCTGCGGGGTCTTCTCTGTGGTGGACATGGAGAACCGGGCAGCTCATGGGCCAGGGCTGGGCCCCAGCAGCAGGAAGAAATCCTGCAGTGTCATCATCCCGGCTGTGTCCTGCCCCAGGACCACAGGACTCCAGGTCACAGCCATCCCTCCTAAGGCAGCACCCTGGGGACCCCCGGTGCTGAGCATCCCCATGGTGCTGTCCCCGCGCCGTGGGGCCGGGCAGCACCCACACACGCTGTGACTCTTTCGGGCTCCTGTGGGAGGTTACGTGGCCAGAACCAGAATAAACCCTGGCATTCGTGGATGGGAACGCAGCCATGGAGCAGCACCAGCCCCCAGAGCAGCTCTGCCCGTGACAACCACCTCCTCCAGCACAACGCGATGGGGCTCGGACCCCCCATCCACCCCAGCAGCCCTGGGAAGCCCATTCCCAAGCTGGAATTGCCTCCCTGCTTCCAGCAAGCCACAGGCAGGGGCTCAGACAGTGGTTGGACCTTTTCCCACTGCAACACCCCCCCCACCACCACCAAAACACAGACGCTGCTGCCGCTCCCTGCGACCTGCTCCTCATCCAAACACATTCCCGGCAATTGGATCACGGACAACGCAGCCGGAATCGCGGCTCCGGTGCTGGACAGTGATGGAGAACCGGGTGTTGCCATTGCCGAGCCCTCCCCAAAATGACATTCCCCACTCCCGGCTGCCTCGCCCGCGGTGCCGTACGCCGGGTAAACACCCTTTGTCTCCAGCGAGCCCCGTGTGTGGAACCAACCGGATGGATGCCGGGATGGATGCTCCGGGCATCCCGGTGGGATGCGGAGCGGACACCCGGGGATGATGGGGGGGGGGGCTCCCACCGGGCTGTACGAGGGGGATCGGGCCCCCGCCGTCCCCGCCACCCCCGGGGGATGCGGCCGGACCCCCCCCAGGGCACCTCCGCCCGCCGCCATCGCCCCCCCCCCCCCCCCCCCCCGCGGCTCCACCCGCGCCGCCGCCCGCCGGGGCCTGTCTGGAACCTTCCGCCGCCCCGGCCCCGCCCCGGGCGGTGCGCGGGGATGGGGGGCCCCGGCGGGGCAGCACCGGAGCCGCCGTGACCTTGAGCCCCACCGGGAGCCACCCCCCGAACCCCAACCCCAAGCCCCGCCGGGAGCGGGGCGGGCGCCGTGACCCACATAACGGCGGCGCCGCCCGCAACCTGTCGCTCGGTGCGGCGGGAGCGGCGAGGGCCGCCGGGGAGCGGTGCGGGGGGGTCCCGCCGGTGCCCGGTCCCGCACTCACCGTCGCGGGAGAGGTTTCCCCGGGCGGCCCCGCAGCAGGCGAGGAGCAGCAGCAGGAGGAGGCCGAGGGGCAGCATCGCGGCGGCGGTGCCCGAGCCGAGCCGCAGCGCGGAGCCTCCGGTGGCACCGAGCGCGCCGCCGGTGTCGGGGCTGGGGCCGGCGGTGCGGCAGCGGCGCGGGTTAAATAGAGCGCGAGGAACAGACCATTCCTGCCGGGGGGGGGGGGTGGAACGGACCGGGGGGGGGGGGGGGGGGGGGAGCCGTGATGGGGGGGGAACGGCGCTGATGCCGCCCCCCTCGGCCCCCGTGTAAACATGCCCGCTCTGGCCGCCGGCCCCCCCCCGCGTCCCGGGGCGCGGTGGTGCGCTCCACATGCGCGGCTCCCCGCGGGAGGCAGGTGCGCGCGGGGCGGCGGCGGTGCCGGTGATGCCGGTGGGGATGCCGGTGGTCCCGGTAATCCCAATGGTGATCCCGGTGGTGATCCCGGTTATCCCAACGGTGATCCCCGTTATCCCAGAGGTGGTCCCGGTAATCCCAATGGTGATCCCGGTGGTGATCCCCGTTATCCCAGAGGTGGTCCCGGTAATCCCAATGGTGATCCCGGTGGTGATCCCGGTTATCCCAACGGTGATCCCTGTTATCCCAGAGGTGGTCCCGGTAATCCCAATGGTGATCCCGGTGGTGATCCCGGTTATCCCAACGGTGATCCCCGTTATCCCAGAGGTGGTCCCGGTAATCCCAATGGTGATCCCGGTGGTGATCCCGGTTATCCCAACGGTGATCCCGGTAATCCCAATGGTGATCCCGGTGGTGATCCCGGTTATCCCAATGGTGGTCCCGGTAATCCCAATGGTGATCCCGGTGGTGATCCCGGGTATCCCAACGGTGATCCTGATGATCCCAGTGGTGATCCCGGTTATCCCAGAGGTGATCCCGGTAATCCCAATGGTGATCCCAGTGGTGATCCCCCTTATCCCAGAGGTGGTCCCGGTAATCCCAATGGTGATCCTGGTGGTGATCCCGGGTATCCCAACGGTGATCCCGATGATCCCGCTGGTGATCCCGGGTATCCCGCTGGTGATCCCGGTTATCCCAGAGGTGGTCCCGGTAATCCCAATGGTGATCCCGGTGGTGATCCTGGTTATCCCAACGGTGATCCCGGTAATCCCAATGGTGATCCTGGTGGTGGTCCCGGTAATCCCAGTGGTGATCCCGGTTATCCTACTGGTGATCCCGGTAATCCCAATGGTGATCCCGGTGGTGATCCCGGTTATCCCAATGGTGATCCCCGTTATCCCAGAGGTGGTCCCGGTAATCCCAATGGTGATCCCGGTGGTGATCCCGGTTATCCCAACGGTGATCCCGATAATCCCAATGGTGATCCCGGTGGTGATCCCGGTTATCCCAATGGTGGTCCCGGTAATCCCAATGGTGATCCCGGTGGTGATCCCGGGTATCCCAACGGTGATCCTGATGATCCCAGTGGTGATCCCGGTTATCCCAGAGGTGATCCCGGTAATCCCAATGGTGATCCCAGTGGTGATCCCCCTTATCCCAGAGGTGGTCCCGGTAATCCCAATGGTGATCCTGGTGGTGATCCCGGGTATCCCAACGGTGATCCCGGTGATCCCGCTGGTGATCCCGGGTATCCCGCTGGTGATCCCGGTTATCCCAGAGGTGATCCCAGGTATCCCAACGGTGATCCTGATGATCCCAATGGTGATCCCGGGTATCCCGGTGGTGATCCCGGTTATCCCAGAGGTGATCCCCATGATCCCAATGGTGATCCCGGGTTTCCTGGTGGTGATCCCGGTTATCAAAGCGGTAATCCTGGTGATCCCGGTGGCGATCCTGCTGATACCAATAGTGATCCTGGTTATCCCAACAGTGATCCCGGTTATCAAAGTGGTGGTCCCAGTGATCCCAACGGTGATCCGGTAATCCCGGTGGTGATCCTGGTGATCCCAGTGGTGATCCCGGTTATCCCAAAGGAGATCACGGTGATCCCAATGGTGATCCCGATGGTCCCCGTGGTCCTGGTGGCCCCCATCCCACCCCTCGGCTGAGGAGCCCTGGTCCAAGTGGAGTCACGTTTTGTCCGGATGTCGTCCCCGCTCCCCATCAGCCCTGAGGGTGAGCAGGACCCGGTCCCCGTGTGCTGGGAGCACCCCCAGGGCAGGAGCAGGGGCACGGAGGGGATCCTGCCCCTCTGCTGCGCTCTGTGAGCCCCCCCCCCCCCGCATCCTGCATCCAGCTCTGGGGCAGCAGCACCAGAGGGACGTGGAGCTGCTGGAGCGAGGCCACGGAGCTGCTGCGAGGGCTGGAGCAGCTCTGCCATGGAGCCAGGCTGAGAGAGCTGGGCTGGGGCAGCCTGGGGAAGAGAAGGCTCCTGAAGGGGAGACCTGAGAGCAGCTCCAGTGCCTGAAGGGGCTGCAGGAAACCTGGAGAGGGGCTTGGGACAAGGGCCTGTAGGGACAGGCCAAGGGGAATGGCTTGAACCTGCCAGAGGGGAGACTGAGATGAGCTTTGAGGCAGAAGCTCTTCCCTGTGAGGGTGCTGAGGCGCTGGCACAGGGTGCCCAGAGAAGCTGTGGCTGCCCCATCCCTGGCAGTGCTCAAGGCCAGGTTGGACACAGGGGCTTGGAGCATCCTGCTCCAGTGGAAGGGGTCCCTGCCCGTGGCAGGGGTTGGAGCTGGATGAGCTTTAAGGTCCCTTCCCACCCAAACCAGTGTGATTCTGTGGTTGTGCTGCCCACATGCTTGGGGCTGGCTCTGGTCCCTGGGCTTGAGTAATTCCATCCCGGCAGCAGCCCATGCACTGATCCTCGTTCAGACTCGCAGCTCAGTCACATTTGGGGTGAAATCTGTTCCAGTCCTTGTCTGCCGATCCCTAAAAGCCACGGTCCAGCCCTTGCTCTCCCAAAGCATCTCCCAGGAAACTCCTTTATCCGCTGTCATCCATCCATTGGATGATAACACTCGAGAGCTCTCTCCTGCCAGCCCTAGAGGGGGAATTAACCCCTTTTGCTTCAGGAGGTCTGAACAAACACGCTTCACACATCAGCATAAACTCCTCCTCACGTGCCGCGGTGCTGAGCCTGCACCCCGGTCCCCTCCTGCACGGAGCTGTGTGAGAGGGATGTCTCCATTAGTCATCCGCTCCGTGGGAAGGGGCTGTGGGAGGAACAGCTTTCTGCTGGTCACATCGGATCGCTGCTCCTTGATTTCAGCCTGGATGTGGCCCTAAAGGGGATGCTGCTCCCTGTGTGGCCTCATCCTGCTGCCCTCAGCGGAGCTGGAGGTGCTGGGGGGGGGGGGGGGGTAGATGTGGGGATAACGTGGGCTGAGCGTGGCCACGGGAGGCTCCACTGGGAGGCTGGGATGGAGCAGGGAAGCTGCAGAGGCTCCTGGGGGCAGCCAGATCTCAGTCGCCTCCCGCTGCCCTAACAGGGATGCTGCAGAGGCAGAACTCAACCCCCTGGGACCAGTGGGGGTGTGGAGCTGAGCCGCATCCCGTGGTCCCCAGCGGTGCTCGTTCTGACCTGGGAGCAGCAGAGAACACGGGAGTAGGGAGTGAAGACAAACCCAGTGCTGCGTCTGGACCTGACGCTTATTCAGGGCAAAGTCTGGGCGCAAGTTGTGCTGTTGGGTGCTTCCAGCTCAGCCTGTGTTGGGTCGTGCTCCAAAACCCAATGGTGCCCCCTTGCAGATGATGAGGGGAGGGCTGGTGATCTGCTGAGCTGGAACTAAAGTGATGCTTCAATAAGGCTCTGGAGCTAAATGCTTTACCAAGGCTGAATGTAGCACTATGGGATGTGTCTCTGCCCATGGAACTGGATGATTTAAGGTCCTTTCCAACCCAAACCATTCCAGGATTCCATGAATGGCGGTTGAGGAATGCAGGTTGAACGGATGAGGGATGGTGCTGCTCGGAGACACTGTGACCAGGGAAGACGTGGAGGTCACTGGAGCATCAGATAACCCTTATCTGCTTCCACTGCTGGGTTTCTAAGAGCATCCAAGGGCTTCCTGAGCCGTGGGCCCAACCTCGGTGTCTCAGCAAAGCCCAGGTCTCCCAGGCTGGTAACTGGAGCAGGATGCAGTGGCTGGCAGCTGGGATTTGGACCGTGGTCCTGCAGTGATTCCCGAGGTGGATTAACCCGCTGGGGTGAGCCTTGAATTCCAGATGAGCTTCTCCCACAGTCCCTTCACGTTGCACAGGGATCCGCTGTGGCTCGGGCTGGTGGCCAAGCTCCAAATGGCCATTTCTAATCTCCTCTGTGCGGGCTCGGTGACATTTATTAGCTCCTGGCTTGGGCACAGCGCGGGGCTGACTCCACATCCTGGCACCGCATCCTCCATGGATGCTCAAGCTGCTTCCCAAGCGCTGGGATAGGTCCAGAGGCGCTCAGACCCTCCCCAAGCCCTCTCCCTGAGCTCTCCACTGTGGTTTGAACGCTGGTTTCATGCAGTTCTGATGTAGATGCTGCAAACGGTGCAGGAATTGCTTCTGGAGGGTCCAGGAGTTCATTCCGCAAAGGCATCGCATCCGCCCCGATGAGCGCTGTGTTGGGTGTCGATGCGCACCCAAAACAAGGCGTTGGAATGGCTGCAAAGAAAACAGCCATCAGAAGGAAAATGTTCCTGGGAAAAGTGGCAGAAAACCAGGGAATAAAGACCAATCCAACGGGACTTTCTCCTTGGTAACTGGGAAACGTCAGGGCAGGACGGCAAAGCTTGGCCGTAGTAACCTCTCCTGTTACTGGGCACGAGTTCTCACCTGAGCAGGGAATGAATTGGTGGTTGGAATGGTTTAATCCATGCAATCCATAAAGCATTAGCAGGCTATAGATCCAGCTTTGCATCCCTCAGCTGCTGGGAAAGAGACTTTGGGCACTGGGGGGACACGTATTTGGGCTGGAGAAGCTGCTTCTGGTTTGGGGTGAAAAGGGGCTTTAGACCCGAAATGGCAGTCTGTGAAGCAAGTGAAAGGCTTTACGAGGGGAGAAGTAACTGTTGATTTATTCCAGAGTAACACGCAGGCCCTGGATCAATACATCACTATCAAAGAGAGGCTTTTTATATAGATACATATACACTGGCTCTAATACACTCAAATTGAACATCCAAGAGCCCAAAGAGGCGGCTGCAGCAGCAGGGATTGGAAAAGGGCTTTAAATGACTTGAAAAGTGGAAGCCAGTTAGAAGGAAATGAAAGGGAAC